TTATATAAGAAAGGAAACGTGCAGGTGCACGTTTCCTCAAAAAAAAAAAAAAGGAGATGGACGTTCCCTATGAGGAAAAGGTCATAGACAGAGAGGAAAGAGTTCCTTGGTGTGAATGTTTTTTAATCCTCAAGGTGGATTAATAGGATTTTTTCCAGAGAAGAGAAAGGGTGAAAAATGGGAGAACAAAAAGAAAAACTAAAAAAGGGAAAATTTCTAGAGTGCTATCACATACTTTTGAGAAAAGTGAGTGATAACTATAGGTGTCATCCCTATTCATTCATCTCATGTGTTGAGAAACCCACTAGAACACCCACACGTTCGAGTTCACGTTAATCCGGAGATACATTGAGAAAGAACCGTGGTGTTCTTGGAATTTAAGAGCTCAAGACAGTGTTGGAGGAATTCAAGATTTACATCCTAATCGAACGACGGTCAAATCCTCATTCCTTTCTTCAATATAATTGTAGTTAAATTAACATGAAATAATGATCACATTTAATTTTAATTTATGTCATTCGATCGATACCACGCTTCCGCACAATTTTTTAAAAAAAATCGGGTTTGAGAAAGCAACATAATCAACGTCAGTAACTAAAACTTTATTGTGATAAACATTCATCTATTTCTCAATTATAAACATCTACAACTCAAGGAGTAAGTCCAATTCATAATAAAAATAAGAGATATTGAGGTAAATGGCCGTTTTTTAGAGATTTATTTTATAAATTAATGGCTAAAATTTTGTAAAATTAGTAAAATGATCATTTTTTATTGATTTAATAGTCAATCACTTATCATTGATTAACTTAGTGGTCAATCACTGAGTTAGCGGTCTATCACTGATTAACTTTAGTTTATCACGGATGAACTTGTTGACTCTTCATTATTGTCAATATCAATTAATAATAAACAAAAATCAATTTCAATTAATCAATATTAATCAATAAATTATAGGTTTATCAATGAATAAATCGTTGAGAAAGTTAATAATAAATCAGTATTAACCGTATGTCAACGACCGATTGATTATTAAGAAAAAAAACCATTTTCTAAAATAAAAAATGGCCATTTATTTAAAAAATAAAAATATCAGCCATTTATTAAAAAAAAGTCAATACAACTATTTAGCTAATTTTCTCTAAAAATAAAACATTTTTGAATGATTATCCATAATAAAAATAAAACATTCTAATCTATTTTTATAAAACAAGGCTCCCTTAGCGGTGCGACTCCTAATTTTAGAGCACCAATGGAGCACGTTTTTAAAAGTCGTTAGATTACAGTAAAAGAAGATGTTTCAATAGTCTTTTTAAACTTTGATATTAGATTTTGTATTCTTTTTTACATATTGAAAAAAAAACCCCTTCATCTCCCCCAAAGCTCCGTTACATTCAACTTATTTTTATTTTGAAAAGCAATATAAGTTACCAAGGACAAGTACGATGAATCTAATTTGAAAATCAAACAAAGAACCATGTAAGTGGATCTCGACCTTAGTAGGGGGAAAAAAGGTGGGTCTCGACCTTGTGCAACTAACTCGCGACGCGGGCTGTTTTGGAGGACAAAAAGGAATTTCAGAAGCTTATTATGGGCCCGTTCACTTTACTAATTCGAGTTGAGATTTGATTTTGTGTGAGAGCTTTTTACTGTAGTAAAAAAGTCAGATGTGACTGTTTCTGAAAGCTTTTTACTATAGCAAAATTCGAATTCTAAACTCGAATCGGCGAAATGAACGGAGCTCATATGCTCTGTTACCGGAAAAACTATGTTAAAATAAAGTATTGTTATAAAGTACCGGTGGTGTTTAATAAAAGGTGAGTCATGCACTGTGTTAAACATTATTTATTAAGCCGTGACTCACAATGAAGTCTGCCTTTTATTATTGATGGTTCTTATCACCGGTAATGTCTTTAAGCATTTTTTGTTTAAAAAAAGAAAAAGAAAAAAGAGAAAGCTTATTATACATGCAGGTTTATTGTATTAATAATAAGTCCTCACCTCAAATCAATAAAGTACCTAGTCAACAACTATTTTATTTGCTCCACCAGTGCCCAAAATTAAGGGTCGCACCGTAAAGATATGACAGCCTCATTCGTTTTGCAGATTCGAGTTTTCAATTCAAGTTGAGATGTGACATTTTCTGATAGTTTTTAACTATAGCATAAAAAATTAGATGTGATATTTTCTGAGAGCTTTTCACTATGTATCTCGGGGGTGTCCCGGGGGTGTCCCGGGGGTGTCCTGGGGGTGCTCTGAGGGTCTCCCG